AGGGCTAATTGGATTGGTCATGTTTTACGCAGAAACTGCCTTCTAAAAGAAGTTATCGAAGGAAAGATAGAGGGGCGGACAGAAGTGACAAGAAGACGAGGAAGAAGACGTAAGAAGATGCTGGTTGACCTTGGGGACAGAAAAGGATACTGTCATTTGAAGGAGAAAGCTCTAGATCGCATTAAGTGGAAGAACTGTTTTGGAAGAGACTGTGGACCTGTTGTCTTGACAGATTACTGATGATATATATATATATATCCTGAAATGCAGAATACATGTCTCTCTTTTTGCAGTTTCTGAACCCCTGCTCCTGAAGTAATCCAACATATGGGGTAAAGTTAGATAAGGTAAAATTGTCCCTGTTCTTAATTGATTAAGCACCACACCATGAAGATGAATGGAGTGGAGGTGTAGCGCCAACATTCCTGACCTATGCACTAGATGGAAGTACCTCAGCTACTTTACCCCTGGGAAAGAGCTCCTGGTACCCATTAGATATGAGGCTGGGTGGGCACCAGGGCATGTCTCAATGTTGTGGAGCAGAAAAAATCTTGTTTCTGCTGGGAATCAAAACCCAATCAACCATCCCATAGTCTAGCTGCCATACTGACAGAGCTTTCCAAGCTCACCAAATATTTTCAGTACCTCTTAAATTTACTTCACAGTCAGCAACAAAAACAAAACATGTCTAATAAAGAAAATGTACAATAACATCAGATGTTTAACTTCTTAAGGAATATCCATATTCATTAGGTTCAGGATTTGATTATCAGCTTTTTTGAAAGATAAGGGGATTTATATTTTCAAGAAGATTTGTTGTTATTCACAAACTTGAAAGGTTTCATGGCAATCTGGCCGCACCATAGCTCAAGCGGTTAGTCACTGGCTTCCCACCATGGTGGCCCAGGTTCGATCCCGAGTCTGGTCAAGTGGGATTTGTGGTGGAAAAAGTTTTCTCCAAGTACTTCGGTTTCCCCTGTCAATCTTCATTCCACCAAATTCTCCATCATCATAATCACAGGGGCAGGCTACAATAGGCTAATTAGTGGCCACCATGCCAAGTGGACTCCACCCCCCCCCACGTGAATTAAAAAAAATCACAGAAATTTGGGTATCACATTGAAAATTGTGTTTCTCTGTGTCCATTTGACATAAAATGACTATGCTACAGTAACACACAATATTTCTGGTTGGGATATACCTGCTTCAAATCTGAGTCAGTTAGCAGCAATGCTGCCTGAGGATTTTTGTTATTCTTCAATCTCTACAACCAGCATCTTAACAGAAGCTTAAGTAGGCCATAACCACACCCATTCAAGTGCTTCCACACTTGTCATTCAGTGCTACATAACATCTGAAATCAAATCACCATTAAATAAACTAAGAATTAACTTAATCGAGATATGAACTAACAAATTCAGCTAGTTATTGTATAAGTATATGACAAACTTCTTCATTAACGGGAACATTTAGAAACGGAACACAAATTGGAAAATAACTGCACTCATTTGTTCCACTTTTTCCCATGCTGTATTTGTACTTCTTATGGAAGAAATTTTTTTAGGCAGCCAGTGAAGACAAGGAATTATTTCATCTCAGGAACTGAACATTCCAATATGAGCTTATGATTCTAAAATCCGTTGTGTGGTTCAAGTACAAAATATCAACACACAGATTTCTGGTAAATGTGCTTGTTTCATATTAGATTACGATGTCTCAGAGGTCATCTGCCTTCTTCAGCTGATTTGGTTCGTTATCTTAGCTCTGTTATAAACTTCTGAAGTTACTTTGAAGCCCTCCATCGGTAAACATGTAACAGTTGCGCTGGTTCAACTGCACCAATATTGCAAAAGCAAGTACTTTTCTGCATATCTTTTCCTTTCAAGAGTGTGTAATTATTTCACGCTTGCAGAAATTTATGTCAATGCATCAGAGGTGTATGTCTACGCTTTAAAATATTTAAAGACGTAACCTCAAGCATTAAGACCTGCAAGAGATATACTGCCAAAATACGTGTTACCTACAACGGTATACTTTCAAGAAGCACAATCGTATATAGGCATCTTTTAAAACATACATATTACTAATAGTGAACACACCACATTGATTCAGCATTTCAATATTTCTTTTTATGCAACACGCACCTACCTGCATCTACAAACCATGCCTGTCATTCTACTTCGTATTTCCGCCCAATTTCTTGTATTTGTCACTTATCTGTGTCATATCCACGGAACACACAATGACATCAAAGTACATGCTGGGCACAGGAAATGTAGTACATGAGCAAAGATTATCTTCTTCATTACTGTGCAAGGACAGTGTAAAAATAAAAATTCGAACTTACCCATTAGATTTAATATATTATGCTATCACCCACGTTTTCTGTGTATTTTAATAGAAGTTGTTATGGAGCCAAGGGTCACGTGCATGTAGATGTAGTTTTTTTGGTAAATGTGGAATCACTACAATTAGACGGTAAGCTTGGAAAAAACAAAAAACTGAACAGTAATAAGGGCATGACCCGGAGAGCTCGGGTCTACAAGGAAGTACAAGAACTCCTGACTAATCAGAATGTTAACGCGGCGGCGTAAACCGCTGACAATGCGGAAGGGCTATATGAAATGGATCATAAGCACTATGGCAGATGGAAAATGCTGAGTAGGAAGAGGCGGCCTACCAAACGAGTCAACCCCTTCTGGGTTGACAACCAATAATCAAGCTACACCGACCCAAAATCACGTCCGGGTAGGAGGACCCCTACACCCGGAAGGCGACGAGTCAGCGAGCAGAGGTTATAAAAACCCGAGACGACCCATTTTAGGGGCTTCTTCTTTTTAGCTCTGGGGCTTTTTGCCTATTCGATCCGATTCGATTCTATTCGGATCTATTACACTATTCGTATTAATGTCATTACATTAGTATTACAATTGTGGCCATGAGTGGACGCTGGATCGTGATGGCGAGCCTCCTCATCTGCAGCTCAAGTAAGTGAAACCATCTCATATAGCCATGATCATTAAGTGTAAAGTGTAACCCGGGAGAGATAGCTAATCAGATGGGCTAGGTTCCTTCAGTGATTCCAAGCATAGAATACCGACAGCAGGCGATAGGAGGGGGACATGACGAGACACTGCAGGATTATTCCCCAGTGCAAGACGAACCGACAAACGTCGGCACAGTGTGTGTATATAGGGTATTTAAAGACGTAGGTAAATAGAATAGGCTAGGAATGTGTACGAGTTTCATTCAACCACACATATCCACGAGTGTTATCCTCTTCCTCCGACTCCAGGACTTCCCAAAGCTTCGGCGATTTACGGTTTACCCCAGACAGTAATGCAAGCTAAGATAAGCACGAGATTTCTTGAATTACCAAGATGGTGGCAGCATACTAAACAGGGTGACGGAGAGGGATATGTCCTCGCCCTCCGTCATCACGGCAGGAGAGAAGTGTGGCGACAGCTAGAGAGATATACAGTGGCGGAAGCGGTGGATGTACCTCCACGCCCCCCTTCACGCCATAACAGAAGTAGAAGGTTAAGCAGATAAGCAGACAATCCATTCATCTCAGCAGAGATTAATTCGAAGCAATAATTTTGCTGAAGCCGCTAACCCTTAACGATAAAATGACTCATGATATTCACCAATTCCGGTCTAGAAACCCGAGATTAAAGGCCGAAGGGATTTTTAGAGCTGACCACGCGACATCCTCTATCCGCTAAAGTTAGCACTAGTTAGTTAGTTACTGGAGAGGGTGGGTTTCCCCATGCACTGAGACCTGTATTGGTCCATTGTGCTTCCCTCTATGATTTATACCAGTCTCTATATCCTACCGGTACTAGTGCTTACCATCAGTCCCGCCCAGCCAGCAAGACCGGCTCTACTAGCTGAGAGGTATCTATAATGCTTCCCCCATCTACCAGAGACTATTAGAGACTGCTGTTGGGCGGGAAACGTCCGTTAATTTGGCTCAGTGACCTCCTTTGGAGATATGAGGTTCTTTTACGTGCCGTAAAGCTACGACACAGAACCCACGGCTTAAAGTCCCTCCCGGAGGACTTGTTCCCTGAATTTTTTCGCCCTTAAAAATTCGACGACCTCCACCAGGTATTTGAACCCGCATACTACGAGTCATGAGGTGGGAACGTTATCTCTAGACTACTTCACTGACAACTGGCGGTCGCGTGGGTCGACTGGTTTATATGGTCCATATAGTTCGCTTGCCGACTAAAACGACAGAGTTTGTTTTTTGGTATGCACCAATTTTCATATAGACAATCATAATAAGGCATTTTTCATGCCAGTGATAAATATTTACTATGGGGCAGATGTATTTGGCTAAGCTCTTTATACTGTATATAACATAAACAGACCTAATAATCATGAACTGCAAAATGATGTTACATACAAGGTACATAAAAAAAATCACTGAATGGGGTAGGGGGGTGAAAAGGGAGATCAGACATTGTAGAATGTCATGACATGTTATCAATGGATCTCAATATTTAACGTGACTTGTGAGCACGGTGAAAGTTGCAAGAGCTAACTCATTATGACCCTAATTGTTAAGACAAGCTTCTAGCTCTCTGATCATTTAAATACAGAATAGAATATTACCCTCTAAATGTGAGCTAATCAAAGCTAATAAATTCATGCACCTTACATAAAAATTAGGGGCACACAGCGTAGTTGTTTGGGGCACTATGCTACAAGCTGGAAGGTCAGTCCTTTTCCCAATGAGGTCATTGGATTTTTCAATTAATCTAATCCTTCCAGCCACACTATAGCCCCAGGGTCAACTCAGCCTCCAACATAAATGAGCACCTGGAATCTTCCTTGGGATAAAGGGCGGCTGGCATGTATGGCTGAAAACCTCACTGTCTTCATGAGCCGATTGTCTAGAAAATGTGGGAGCCTTGACTTCTCGTAACCCTATGGGCCTCCACAGCCTGTTAAAGGGATAGCTTTACCCTTTTTTTTTTTTACCATGCATATATACAATCAATACTGTCTTCTGTAATGCACAACTCAAAATTATTTGCTATTGTTAGGTCATGCAAGAGGGTAAATACCAGTAATTCCTAGTGTAAGAGTGTGTATTTTGTTTGTTTGTAGTTAACTATACTGTCAGTTTCTCAATCTATATGGTGTTGAATTGGAGACTGAATAGTAAATAACAAATTGGAAAGGATGTGGAATGAAGTGGACATGGTTTAATTTTCCTGGAAGGGCTGAGGAAAAAACATAAAAATATCAGACAAGATAGTCAGGATCATGGCAAAGACTTGAACTAGGCACCTCCTGCATAAAGTCAAAAACATCACCACTTGGGCCAACTTGCTCCGTGTGAAGATGGTGGTGGTTGCTGTTTTTGTTAAGAGCTTGTAATTTGGTACCTCCTATAATTCAAATAAAAGAGGACTCAATTATTGACCTTTTGGACATTATCCACTGGCAATTATTTTTTTACTTAAAAACATTTTAGAGGCTAGATCTGTGTCTGTCCTCGGGTAAAAGCGTACTCAGTCTACATGAGGATGGAGACAAGAGTCCAGTCTCTAAAGCGTTGTTTTCAAATAAACAGGATAATGTCCAAAAATTCAACACTCGTATTAACAACCTTTTAAATCTTATTAAAAGAGGGTTGACATAGAGAGATTTCAATTGGCCTGTGAAACACGTCACTTTATTTTGGTCCATAATGTTTATTTCATACACAACTAACATGAGTTCTTGTGAGGTGAAAACAAAGATATGAGTGGAGACTTTTAATGCCTGAGCGTGCATTTGTTATCAGATGTCCGGTTTTTTCAAAATTTTCAGTAAGTATTTATATAGCAGTAATAGTTTAGTAAACACAAATAATCAACATGACTGGCAGGAGCTCATGAACAGATAGGTAGCTGTGAGCACATGACATCACAAGCACACACATACTTGCAATTTTTACAGTCACAATAGCCGATCTCAATAGTGTAATTTCATTAGTTCTAACACCTTTTACCTCAGTAGTTCAAACATAGAAACAGTCAGCATTATCTGCAAGCAAGCATACAGTATACCTCCCTTCATACTGAATACTATTAGGATTGCTGTTTCTAAGCTACCAACTACAGGAAATTTATGTTATGTTAAGGTTAGGAAGAATGGTTTACAGTTACAATATTTTGAAAAATATTAATCCTTCAATTTTAATACAAGAGTGCAATATAATTTTATGTGGTCTGTGTACCCTGGGTTGTTATTTACTCAGTCAAGAGTAGTTTCTGATTATTGGTTCAAAATTTAACATCATAAATTTATTTAATTTTTTACACTGTACAGTTTAAGAGTTCAACAAAAATATAACAAATTTTGTAGCTCAAGAACAGGAATCTGGAAGGCATACACACTTACTTCAGATAATTCCCAGCAGAAACTCACTTACTGACTTTACATTACCTGCCTAATATACCTGTATTCTAGTCACAGAAGCTTGGTCCATCCACACTGGATGACAGCTAACTTATTTACTAAGAAACTCCCTCCTCTCCAAAATACAAAAAAGAAAGTACAATGGAATCAATGAATAAATGTATGAATGCACAGTACAGACTGTATGTGGAGGCTAGTGAGTTTGTACTGAATCACCCCCACATGTGAAGAGAAGGTATTATGCAGCCGCTCTCAATCTGAGTCACAAGGCCCAACATTTTACTGCTCGTCTTGTAAGTTACAAAATAAAAGAACAACCCCCTCCCCACACACACACACACACACACACACACACATACACACACACAAATCAAATTGCACCAAATATAAACATTCAGGCATGAGATGGAATTTTGGAAGAAATCAAAATACGTAAAATGAAAATTTATGATAAAGATCATAAACCAAAGTAAAAGAAAATACATAATCCATGAAATTTCTTAAACCACAGGTACTATTTACAAAGAATAATGTTATGTAGTTTTGGTGAATATAAAGTATTTTATTTAATGAAACTGGATTTTAGGCAAGAGAACAATAATTTCAGTTACATGTAACATGAAATAAAGTTCGAGATATGTTGGTGCTAACACCGTTCTCCCACTGTGAGAGTTGGACCATGCTCAGATGCAATGTCATATTTAAGATCATAGCATGACATGTAGCTACATCTCACCATGGCCCCACAAATAATTGATGTAGATGCCACAGGCAAGCTCTTGGCAAAGGTTTAAGCAATTTACATCTAAAAATACACTTTAATTTAAATCATCTGCACTGCACTAATCACATCTGAGTGCCATCCTTCAGGATGGACCACTGAGTGTTCATGCCCCCATGAGATTCGGCAGTGTGTTCATTTTGGATTTCATCAAGGTTAGCTCACAAAAGGCAGAAACTAAGAGCTATAGAATACATCCCCTGCTGCATTCAATTAAGTTCACGCTCCATTATTAGAATTGTATTTTTTTTTTCTTTTTTTAAAATTACTGTGAAATTTCAAACATTCTCTGCAATAGTTACTACAACTAATGCGATATATGTTACATTACAATGGATGGGGAGACAATGAGGAACAATTCCTTGTCTCAATATCAAAATCTGAAGCATTTCATTATAGTACCACTAATATTTATATAAAAATGAAACACTAAAACGTATACAGAACATTGACGATAGCCGATCACACACTGAAATATACTAACAATATAATAATCATAATATACACTGTCCGCTCATTCTCACATACATACAAATATTCCTATCACAAGCTAGTTTTACAGGCAATATTCCTGAAAAATCACGACCACAATGTATGGATGATAAAAACACATTTACTGCATTAAAAGTGTGAAATTTACATCATAGACAAAAATAATCAAAGCTCTCAATGACGAATAGGATCATTTCATAAAATACTTATGTTCCATTCTAAAGCCAAAATCACATGGAATGTTGTAAAAGCACACCTACTATTTTGTTTTGAAGAAAGAATGAAGCAATTCAACATCACCTACTTCAAAAATAAATCTCAATGCCATAGGCACTTTTCTACCAGAAATTGTATTGAACTCTTGTTATAACACACTCTCAGCTTTGTGATGCCAAGTTACAAAATAGGCTTCAGTCTGACAATTGCCAACTTTACTTTCTTGTTTTACGACCTTCAGCTACAATGTTATTCAACTTCATAGTTACTTTTTGCAGTAAACTGTAAAATTATGTAGCATTCTTACCCTAAGACACATGTTCTCATCCCTGCACTCTTCAGGGAGCTATAAAATAAAACTGTAGGTGTAGTTTTCTGACCCTGAAGTACACTCAGAGTAGAAGTCACATGTTATGAGACTATTTGGGGAAAAAAAAAAGTAAAAAAAAAAAAGCAGTAATTAAACCACCCATTAAGTTTCCAAATTAAAGTAATTATTTATAATAAATGCTTAATGATGAAATTGACATTTGTAATATTTTATAAAGGAGAAAGCCCATTTTGTAACTTCTATTCAGCACTGGAACAATTATGATAGATGCAAAGCACAACTGAAATTTCTACTGGCATCAGAGTTGCATGAACCTGCTCCAAACACTGAAATGCTTCAAATTTTGTTTAACAGCAGAACAATGTGTGGACAGAGGGTGGACACCATTTAAATGTGGTAATTATGGAAACTTCGGTATAGATATTTAATGGTAATCTTATTTCTTTTTCATTAAAATAAATATCTGGCAAGGCTATCCACTTTTAAAATTAGTTTCATATAATATATATCTTTATGTAACCTGTACTTAGCTTATATATAATATACCATATAATATTTAAAAACTTACAGCCTTAGTGGCATCGGCTGCTACAACTGAAGGGACATAAAAAGAACTTGCTCTCAACAAAGATGATGCAGATATGTAGCTCAAGAAAGTAAAACATCAGATTCAGTAAGTTTAGAATAAGAATCTCTCCTTCTAGAACAGATTTGTTAAACAGACAATGACCATGCTACAGTTGAAGTTTTTTCTTTTCTACTCTGATGTGGTTATGTTATTAATGTCTGTTGTTTGGTAATTCATACTGTTCTGTTCTGTCTTCTAGCAACATCAGAAAATATGTTAACAACATGAATGCATGACTGCAAACCCATGACATCACTTAGCTGTATTAGCATATTTCTCTGCGCTGCATTACACCTACACATGAAGAATGATATACATCTAAAAATTGTAGGGTACTATAACGAAAAATCTGTCACCACTGTCATACAGAAGTATACCTTACATTCATGTAAGATAATGGAGGTACATTTACTATGCCACTCTAATTATTGACTAACAGTGGTTACTTCACCCTGATCTATGATGTATAAAATCCTCGTTTCAAATGGTATGAGAATTTCAATGAAATCACAAAAGTTTACTGCTGTTATACATCTGTGAAATACTCAAACCGTCTGCAACTTCTTCCAGTTTTACATATAATCTCTTCAAAGTTGCGCAAAATCTTACATCAACAGCTTGATAACTTTAGAACACTTCATGCAGTTTATATGTTAAAATCAACATGCCAAATGAACTTTCCTTAAAATTAAATGCTTCACTCTTTCAGCCAATATAAATTATAGCAATACTTCCTATTCTGAAACATCTGTGATGGGTCCAGACAAGAAGGAAATGCATATTTTTTGTATGACATATTGTTATTATTATTATCATATTCATGGAAAACTATTTCAAAAATAAAACTGAATTAATTTTCTCACAAAAAAAATGAAATGTTTGTACCCTTCTGACACTAATCTGTGTCACACTATGCAACATGATATTCGTATCAAGTTGTTGTTATCACTTGATATATATGACAAAAACAATATTCACAGAGGAATTCCAACTGCTAATTAAATATTATATAATGTCATGACAACACACAGAAATATTGTGATTAGACTTAGCCATATCTTGGCAGTTATAAATTAATGACCATTTGAATATTGTCACCTATTTCTCTGTGCCTCAGTTCTTCTTTCAATCAGATAATGAACATGTTCTTCCTTTTCCATTGTTTTAGAGAAACTGGAAAGAGGAGAGACATACCATTGCTGCAATATAGTAGTGTTGACTAGTGGTACCAACTCAGACACAGCAACAATTAACTTCTTGTGGTTGTAGGAAAAGTAATTTTAAACTCTAGCCTGGTAAGTAGATACACTTATTTAAACCCCTTTCTGCAAAGACTAATATAAATTGCTACCCTGTAACTCTACAGATGTGCCATGACGTAACAGAACATGACAGTAACTTTCCTCGTTGACAGTGCAGCAAAATATTCTTCTTGCTTTCATTGCTCAGATATCAAAACAGTTATGCCTGATGCACTACCATGCAACAAAAGGCTTTAACTCAGACTATCTCAAAAATACATTTCTTTGAGCCAGAGCTAAACTTCACTAACTCATTAGGGTACATAATGTCCAGCTGAAGTGAGTGGGAAACATGAATTTATTTATCACTTACAGGAAAACAGCAATGGACAGTCAAACTTTCTTTGTTCAAGAACAGAAAGAGAAATAACAAAAGCTACCATATTAGATTGAAAAATAATAAACTGAACTACATTAAGCTAAAATGTTTCTGGTTCTGGCATATCACCACAAGTTTATGGATTTCAAGTGTAATTTCACAATAGTTTTAATTTTTTGTTCCAAACATTCCTAACAGAAACAATTTCCTTATATTCAGGCATTTTTTACAAGGACAAATTTCTGATTCCCTGTACCTGCTACAAAGTGTGTCCCTCCTTTCTGCCCCTGCTTCAAAGAGAAAATAATAGAATAGTTTTACTAGCTTTATCATATTTTTAAGCTTTCAGAAATATTTTAATTACTTTAAGTATAATACTGAAATTTGACAATATTTCATAGGGTGAAGTCGGTTTAATTCCATAATTTCTAGCTGGACAATAACCCTGACTAGTGCTGATCATTCTTACCACATCCTGGTGTAAAATCTCTACCAGGCCTAGAAGATGTTCTACTAAACAGGCTTACAATTAAACCAATTCATCTAGGAGGTGGCCACTAGAGGAGCAGCCACTTCACAGAGAAAAGCATGGCCACAGACAGCATGATGGTCACGTGTGGGGACATAAGTGGAACTGGTGGGTTTCCTGACACCCGTACATCACTTTCTTTGAGGAATACTGAATCAATGACATGAATAATTCCATTGGTGCATTCCACATCTGGCCGGTACACATGGATCCACTCTCCTTGCCACTCCACATAGTAACCTGAAAGATAAATAAATCTGCATGTATCAGAGGAATTTCTACAGTGCACAGTCATGAGACTGAACTACTTCAGTGACCACCAATTGCTGATTTTTCTTGATGTAGTGAAATCTTCTTGATCATTGAATTTGATTGGTTAATGGCCCATAGCTCATAATCATATTAAAATAGGAATAGTAAATAGTTTTCAAGGTATTGAGAGTCTCAATATTTAAGGGATTTTATTATATTTTCAACTTCTTTGGAGGATAAAAATTTAGATTAATATTTGGGAAAAGAGTCTTGAAAGACTTCAGTAAATAATGAAGAGTAGTAGTATTATCTAACTTATGAGAGCTAGGTTCATTATATTTGATGTTAATATTTTTAGCTATGGATAAGAAACGTTTATTAAATTCATTTGCTGTCTCTTAATGATTACTAATTGGAGTCCCCTCAATATTTAAGTGATATCCTTATCAGTATTTCCAGTTTTATTGGATTATAATTTAACTATGTCCCAAATAGTTTTCTTTTTGTTCAGGGATTTATTAATTTTGTCTGCATAATTAAGTTTCTTTGCTTCCTTGACAACGGCAGATTAAATTTTGGAAAACTTTTCATAATAATTCATGAGATCTACATTATTACTATTCCTACACGCTATGAAGAGTTCTCTTTTACATTTGCAAGAAGTTAAAATTCCTAAGGTAATCCAGTTATTATTTTTTTTTTTGTGATGGGGACTATCTTTAGAGGAAAACTAGAATAACAGATTTTCAAATAGGAGTCTAGAAAAGAGTTAAACATTTATTAACGTTATCTGTAGAGGAAACAGTATCCCAAGTTTTGTAGCTTAATTTAAGAAAAAAATCATTTATTGTATGTTCATTAATCTTTCTAATCGACATACGTTTTTTGACAGGTGGTCTTAAACTAAAAGAATAAAATGTTATAATTTGAGCATCATGGTCTCACAGCGCATTAGTTATTGCAGTTATAGAATAATTCCCAGCCTTGGTAGTGTCAATAAAGATATTGTCTATAGCTGTAGCAGAATTATGTTGAGTGCAGGTAGGGAAGTTGACTACACTTTATACAACCTCTTTATTAACCGTCACAACACAACAAATATCAAGGTCAGTGCCCAGCTACGGCTCTGCTACATGTTTCGGCTATCAATAGCCATTATCAGGCAAATACATGGTTAAACATATATACACCACTGAACTGCAGTACTATTAATCATATAAAACACTTGACATAAAAAATACAGTGAATCAGATTATATAAAACAAAAGTTATAGTATAAAACAAGAATAAAATTTTAATTTATATTTTATAACATCGAATCAGTCGTTGGTTTTGTAATTTCGTACATTCCCATGGACAAATTAGAATATTCTATATTTTTTCTCTTTTTGTATATAAGATTGTATAGGAGGCTGTAGATGTAGTAAATGTTAATTGTTTAGTCAGTGCCTCATCTTACAAAGTATTGTCCGTATTGTAGGGAATGTAAACAACGACTGATTTGGTGATGTAAGATTAAAGTACGTAGGCGAGTCAAATGAAAACCTTAAATATTTTTTTAGTATTATTTATTGTGCACAAGTGGTACAAAGCTGTATCACTTTTCAACATAATCTCCCCCACGCTCAATGCAAGTCCTCCAGCGCTTACAAAGTGCATGAATTCCTTTAGAAAAAAAAAATATTTTGGTAGTCCGCACAACCACTCTTGTACTGCGTGGCGTACCTCTTCACCAGAATGGAACGTCTTTCCTCCCATTGTTTCTTTGAGTGGTCCAAACATGGAAATCACTTGGGGCAAAGTCTGGTGAGTATGCCGGATGAGGAAGACAATCAAAATGCAGGTCATTGATTGTTGCAACTGTTGTAGGGGCAGTATGGGGCCTTGCATTGTCATGTTGCAAAAGGATACCTGTGGACAGCAATCCACGTCGCTTTGATTTGATTGCAGGCAGAAGATGATTTTTAGGAGCTCTGAGTATGAGGCAGTGGTGACAGTGGTCCCTCTAGGCGTGTAGTGCTCCAAGATGACGCCTTTTTCGTCCCAAAAGAGAGTCAGCATAACTTTCCCTGCTGATGGTTGTGTTCAAAACTTCTTCGGTTTTGGAGATGAGAAATGGCACCATTCCTTGCTCGCTCTCTTCGTTTCCGGTTGGTGGAAGTTAACCCAAGTTTCATCCCCAGTAACGATTCTTACAAGGAAGTCATCACCTTCTCGTTCAAAGCGCCGCAAAAGTTCTTCACAAGCTGCGCAAGCAGCTTTTCATGATGTTGAATTTTGAGGGGCTTGGACAGGAGGAGCCGCGAACACTCTGATTTTAAGAGTCGCTCAGAACAGTCGCGTGGTAGGAAGGAGATGCAATGGAGTCAGACGTCTTCCTCTTTTGTTAGCGTGAGTACTTGTCCATGTTCGGATCACTGATGATTGTCAATATATGATTCTGGTTCAATGATTTTGGTTGGTTAATGTGTTCTTAGGATAAAATTATTTGAATTATTTTAGCATATTATGGACAGTTAAATGTAGGAATTAAAAACTAGGGGTTTAATCGTAGGTTTTGTGTGTATTTACAGGTTGTTTGTTGTAATGGTGTTTATTTCATTATATATTACTTTAATGTTGTTGGTGACTACTCGATTTATTTGTGGATACCCCGAGTGCAAGCATGTTTTCCACTTCACAGGTTAAGAGTTATCTACGAACGTCCGATAGGGGGTGATTACAGTCACTGACCCTTATCAGGGCACAACAGATTGGTGGCTGCGGTAAGATTTATAAGAGAAATTTTTGTGTCGCAATCGTTGTGGCACAACATTCCACTCATTTGATTGTCGCTTCAAGTGTGGTTCATATGAGCGAGCCCAAGTTTCATCTAGAGTGACGATCCTTCCAAGTAAGTCGTCACCTTCCCTCTGGTACTGGTCCAGTAATTCCAGTGCAATTGCATAACGTTGCCATTGTTGCACCTCGGACATTGTATGGGGGTACCCAACGTGCTGCAATTTTGCGGTATCCAAGAATATTGTGCAGAATGTTGAGCATGGTTTTGTGACATACGCCTACTTCAGCAGCTAACTCCTGCGTAGCCCATCGACGATCAACACCCAGCAAAGAAGCAAGTAGCTGAATTGTGTGGTTGTCAACGTGGGATCGTCCTGAATGCATTCCTCCCTTCACGGAACAATTTAACCCATTGTGCCACTGTGCAATATGGCAGATCAGCATCACCACATGCTTCTCGCAGTCCCTGATAACAGTTTTGTGCACTATGACCTCGTGTAACTTCAATTTTTATCCAGGAGCGTTGTTCTTGTTTCGTAAACATGTTGTTAGGGTGCTTGAACTGGGCTCCTGCACTTCAAGACGATGCACAATGCAACTCAATGAAACACAACCAGAGCCACTCACTGCGCTACTTCAACTGAACTTCTGCTATCAGCTACAGACAGCACTAGTGCCACCTGACACACATCTTTCATGTTACAACAGTGTTGCCACTACTCTTTATCCAACCCTTGTATGATACTAAACTATGAACTGTTATAGGCTATCACAGTGAAAAACATGGTCTGCTATATAAAACACCTTTTCTCAGCTTGCTTCTCAAAATATCTCCTAATTCTCATCACAAACTGAAAAAGCCATTTTTGGATATCCCTACTATTTAATACAAAGTAACTAGATTAATTAATGAATGCTGAAAGACATAACATAACTTCAATCTTCTCCGTAGCCAAGCACAAGTAACTTCAGCCATATCATGATAAAAAAATATAAATATGTAACAGCAATTAGTATTTACATGATAACATAAACATAAATATAATTCTTGGTCAAAGATTGCATTCAACTTACTTTTATCGGATTCCTTGACCCGAAGTTTGAGGTGGTCTCGTACAGTTGGAAGGACAACTGTGTCATTGGCAAGGTGCTTCAGGTCAGCCATTGTATATGCTCGATCTGCCACCACTAGATGTCTCTCAAGGATCTGTCGTACCTGGAAACCAGTATTAGGTGACAGTCATCTCTCCATATTTGCAAATCTGCTGTCAGGTTCATGGTCAGGCTCCTAACAGTGCATTATCACATATATACGAGTATTTCCACAATTTCACACTGTGCATCTTTGCAACCTTTTCGCAGCTGCTCAGCATGTTACCCATATGCACTGTGTCACAGTCCAACACAGTCCATGCCTGGCTCTTTTAACTGCAACATCTCGCAAAATGTAAGCAATATCAGCAATGTAAGGGGAAGTATAAATGCCATGAGGAGAGTGCACACCTACATTGCATTATGTTACGTTACATTATATCATATTGCATTGCATTCCCTGTATCTAAAGTTAGTCAAAATGACTGTACGATGTGGAACATGTCATATAAATATAAAACCATCTGTACAGTACAACTAAAACACAACATTCAACTTACATGGTAGCCATAATCCTTCATGAACAGCTTCTTGTGTGCAGAAGGGAAATGTATTTCAGCTTTTTGCCAGGCATGATTTCTAGGTACAAAATATGTAAACCTTTTTGTCTTGTCACCCAGCTCGTCATTGAAGTTTCCCTGCTGACCAAGATGGTATGTGTTGCTGCAATAGATAAAAGTAATATACCAGTTTTATTGGTCGTTGTCAGAATATGTTTGGCTATTCATTTCAAAATCCCTTTACTGAAAACAAGAGATGTAACGTACTAATATGAAGTTATACCCATTTTTCCTTTTTCTGTGTCTATGGTTTATTGTATGCACAATGCGATCATTATTTCACTCTATACTGCATCAAATGACAGCGTGATAAGTGTGAAATTAATTGGAAAGAGAACTTTAGGTTCCCACAGTGATGATTAAGAAGAGGTCTATCTTCTGAAATACGAAGCCATGCAGTCAGTTGAAAGTCAACTTACAACTGGAAGCAACATTTTCTTACTGTCTGAGTTTTAAGAGTTCTTAACTATGTTTTATAGTTTTCATTTGAGTAATTCTTGCTTGTGTACAAAAAATAAAGAGAGAATATTACTGGACTGCATTCACTTTAAATGCCAAAAATACAAGAACTGAGTAATGTGGTGGGGTAGGAACAGGTTTCTGCAGTGAGAACATGGGTTGGCGCTTTCTCCTCTCTTCCCCGTAGCCAGCTGTCTGCATCATCAGCATTAACACTTCTTCTCGGTTGCTTAAAAGTTAATATAGTCAAGTTATACTAATGAGCATATTAAGCTGGAAGGGAATATTATAATATTAACAAGATTGAAGAGAAAGAATGTAATTCACTACAAGTCCTTGATTATGTTTAATTCTGTTCCAAAGTTACAATTCTTAATATAGGAACTGAAAAATACAGTTCCAGTGTACTTGGATTGTGTAGTTTCATTTATATAATTTGACAACTTCTCATTTGTTCCTGCCTTGGTGCTTCCTGCTATGACACACAAGCATTTACTTCATTAAAACTGTGGAAACACAAAACACTCTACAATGATTCTAATATACAGTAAATGAGGCACTTTTCAGAGACTACTTACTTTAACATGGGGTCAGACTGAAGCTTCTCCTTTACATTTGTGTATGGAACTCCCAGAACACGGTCTATGATGTGGACAAATCCATTGGTAGCTGCAATGTTTGGCTCTATCACTGTAGCATTGACCCCACCACCCTCAACAGTCAATGTGACATTGTGGCCATTCCTGATCACATTGAAGTACAGCTTCTTGCGCTCAGCAGCTGTTTGTACCTGGAAAAGTTAGAGTCAGTGACACAACTCAGCTCACGGGACCAGGCACAGCACTCAGCATGCATAATGTTATGACACAAAAATTATGGTGGACATTATCCATTATCTGAGGTATACCTCAAATACATGATGCAGAGAAACTGGCTCTACTCCCATCAATGTTTCTTGTTTCTGAGATTTGTTACAATCATCAGAATAAAAGCCAAAACATTTTGCATATTAAATATGCATGCTAGTTAGAAAACAAGTTGAATATTCAAAGGGTCCTGGCTTGGGCCACGCCATAGCTCAAGCGGTTAGTCGCTGGCTTCCCACCGCAGCAGCCAGAGTTTGATCCTGGGTCTGGTCAAGTGGGATTTGTGGTGGACAAAGCGGTTCTAGGTTTTCTCTGAGTACTTCGGTTTCCCCTGCCAATCTTCATTCCACCAACTGCTCCACAATCACCCTCACCTATCATCTGGGGCTACTACAATAGGCCAGAAGTGGCTGCAGTACAAGGGACTTAGTCCCACCCCACTAGTAATAAAAAAAGGGTCCTGGCTTTAATATTAATCACTGTCATTAAGATCAAATCTAAAAACAATGATTGGAGTGAAGTAAAGTATCAAAATACCATGAGTCTCAAAGGAGAATATCCAATATAACCATGGTGTAATTACTCAACAACTGTCATAACAGATCAGGGAAACATGCAATATAATATCAACCATCTCATCAGGTAATTTTCAGCAGTTACAAAATTACAAGACAGCAATGAATTAATTAAAAATGAATTATGGGGTATGTATAACACTAACAACAGTAACAGACCATGCCCTATTCTCAATCAAACAGAAACTTACGTGGGCATATGCTTGTGTATGCCTAACTATATATGCAAATGAAAACATATTTTCTTTTCTTTCCTAATTTTTTTTTAAATCATCTCCACTGTAAGTGTGGTCAACTGACTGACTTGTGACTTCTGGTCCCCTTTGACTTGGATATTTCAGATATGGATTCATGCATACAGTCTTTAGTGTGTTGTGTGTTATGCCTCTACGAAGGTCTCTGACCAGCCAAGCCTCTGCCCTATTGGTCCAACCTTTTCTATGGGAAGACACATGGGTGTGATTCCCATTTCATTCCTCATGATAGGATGACAGTGAAGAGGATAACAAGGGCCAGGAGAGATCTACAGCTGAACACAGGATATGAGCCATGATGGGGACCTAGTATTCCACACATATGCAAGATTCACCTGTGTCAGAAAGGTAAATATGTGTACTAGATCCAGCTGTCCTGAACTCCAAGATCTTCTGCACAGAAGGTCAGTGCCTAAACCTAGACCTCCTTATTCCCACTTTTTCTATTATTTTGCCACCATAATTCACACTGTATAGATTATGTTTCACTTTGCAGTATACACAGGTTTTAGTAACACTCAACTTAAATAAAGAAATGGCAAGAATTTATTACAAAAAAAAAACTTAGAGAAGGTAAAAATGGTAAACTTGTCTCTGTACTTAATTAATTAAGTACTATGCCATAAACACATATGGGGTAGTGAAAGTATAGCCCCTGACTTTGGCACTAGACGGGAGTGAGAAGTCAGCTTCGTGCCTCTGCTGCTTTAGCCCCAGGGAAGGAGCCCCTGGTACCCGCTGGATATCAGGCCTGGCCCCCACAGCTTGCCTGAGCACTTTGGAGAACAGAAAAATCCTGCACTGTCAGGAATCGAACCCAGAACGTCCAGGCCGTAGCCTGTCACTAAACCAACTGAGCTATCCAAGCTCCACAAAAGTTAGTATGCCCATGAATTCTAAGCTGGCACCTCTGAATTCTAGACTTCCATATGTGTTGAGCAGAGGAGAGTCAAGCTATAAGGAGCTATCAATAACTTGTGTGATTTTCATAGCAGTAAATTATTCACCAATAAAATTATTACTTCTGCTACATTTAGGCATATTATTAATATAAATGTCAGCCCTTGATAATCCTTCTCAACCATTCCTTCCTTACAACCATCAAAGCATCAGTCATTTACATGGGATATATCTCATTCTAACAATCAGCCAATGATGATGAAAAATCATAAATAATTATCAAATTCTTGTAACTGTATTTTATTTGTGCAGTGAGATCCTTCCACATTTGCATATAAGTAACATCCTTCAATACCGAGTTTTCTGGAAGTATAAGATGGAGAATGTACAGTAACCCTGATTTAATGAAGAGATATTCAACTCACATAATGCTTTATCTAACTGCAGCTCACTATTTTAGAAGGTGTAGGTATAACAAATGACAGTAACTACATCATCATCATCTCCTAATTCATCAAACAAATTTCATACAATGCGTTTTCAACACAATTTAAAAAAGGCAGTCATTACTTCTAAATGCTTTAAAATGAAAGTACTATCACTAACAGGATTTGTATGTACAAACATGCAACACTGTTCAATACAAAATAAGTATAATTAACATGAGAATTAAAAAGATAGAAAATTTTAAAGTTTTTAAAAATAAATTAAAAAGTTATTTATTACAAAACTGTTTTTATTCTCTGCAGGAATTTTTTAGTAACAATGATGAATGGTAGTGGCTCGGGGTGGTTCTTATATGGTTGGATGTATATACACGTAGATGGTATATGTTGCTCTATATTGGATTGTGTGTGTGAGGGGGGGGGGCTGTCATCTGCGATTGTTAGCTTCAGCGGGGGCATGATCCTAAGATGATTGTACTGTTCTTAGTCTTTTGTATCATTTTGTACATTCTTAAGAGTTGTAGTGTTTTAGATGGTTTAAACTCACTTGTCCAACTGTGCTTATGTAACAGTTCATGGATGTAAATAAATTATGAATTAACACGATTTTCATTGTTAGACACATTACTAAATGGAAAAGAACCTTCAATGGCAATGCATATTATCTGCATGTATACTTTTGTATTTATATGTCTATCAGCATGTTTCTCATAGAAAAAATGATCTGGCTGTCATAAGACATAGAATGAATATTACACCTTTGGAGCCACTCTACATCACATATTTTGAATTCCCCATCTTGAACAATAACAATAAGGTGGACATGAAGACTTTTAAAGTGAGAGCAATACGATGGGGTACCCAAAAGAAACCAAACTATTTTTTTTGTGGGCAGAGCTTTTGTAGTACCGCGTTTTGCTGCTATGAGCGCATAGAGCTAACATTCCTAAGTCAATAAGCCTACTACCGTTGCTTCAGAAGGTAAGGACTAGTTTCGGCAGAGTTTATAGTGACAACTGTTTTTGCAATGGCTGATTTTCGTGAACAGCGTGCGGCGGTGAAATTCNTTGGAAGTTTTGAAAAGATTGCGCAACAGTTTGCGGCGGAAGCGGCTAGATTTGTGGCAGTCGGGTGACTGGTTTTTCCATCATGACAATGTCCCTGCTCACACAGCCCTGTCTGTACGACAATTCTTGACCAAAAATGGTATGACCCCCGTTCCTCACCCAACCTTGCCCCGTGCGACTTTTTTTTTGTTTTCTCGAATGAAAAGAGACATGGAAGGAAAAAATGACAGAGGTGCTGTCAAGCATCTCAAAAGATGAATTTAGACAATGTTTTGAAAAATGGAATAAAAAACTAGACAAGTGTGTTAGTGTAAGTGGAGAGTACTTTGAAGGGGATTGAAGGTTTGTGTTTAAAATTTGAATAAATAAGTTTAAAAAAAAATAAGTTTGGTTTCTTTTGGGTACCCCCTCGTACTAAAGCCATTCAATGTAGGATAGAGCTCTGATAAGTGCAAAATATGTATTAAGATAATTTTTACTGAAACCTGCAAAATATGCGTCCATTTTCTGTTTTCATGGTAACTAAGAAATCAATTTAATTATAATAAAGGGAAACCAAATGTATTGTAATATATTGTATTTATTACACATTCCAGCACATCCATACAAGGCCGAAGCCATTGGATTAAGAACCTGTCACACCACATGCTTGCTAAATCAGAAAGTAGTCAACAGAACAATGCATATAAATCCACAACAATAAATGAGTATATGAAAGCCCTACACATCACTGCAACTACGTACATGGCCTACCACTTGTATATAAGATATAATACAAAATTAGAACATAGATGACAATAGATCAAATAATGGGTCATAGCTAAACAAGAAACTATCCCTAATTAAAATATTCATCTAAAGTGTAATAGGATTTAGTATGTAAAAAGGCACTTAAAGCTGCTCTAAATTGTTTAATATTATGGATTAACTCTTTTATATTTGAAGGAAGATGATTAAAAAGTTTAATACTAAAATAACAAGGTCCTCTTTGGTTAAGTTGTCAAATTTGTCTGAGGGCGATAAAGATCAAAATTACAACTAGTATTAAGGCCATGAATTTGTGATGTCGTGTGATATAAAGCCATATTATTCGCAAAAAAAATCAATAAAGAAAATATATATTGGGACTGCAATGCCAAAATTCCCCAATCCCTAAATGCATCTCTACAAGAGTCCCTAGATCTCAGCCCACTCATGGTTCCAGTTATTCTCTTTTGAATTCTGAAAATGTGCATATTATGAGAATTGCCCCAAAAAATAATTCCATAGGTCAAACGTGAATGGAAATGAGCGTAATATACCATCTTTAATGTCTCTGTGGGCATAATGGACTTGATCACCCTCATTGAGTAACAAGCCTTGCACAATTTAGGCATGAGCTTTCAATAGTTAATCCCCAAAAGTTCACATTTGTACTGCTTAAAATCACATTATTATGATAATTAACAGAAGTTACACTATTAGAACTTGGCTTTGTCCTAAATTGAACATGTTTAGTTTTGTTAAAATTTAGAGTTAATAAGTTTGAATTAAACCAGTCATTAAGATGAGCAAAGGAAATGTCAACATCATTTCTGTATTGTATATTATTATAACTACTAATAACTAAACTTGTATCATCTGCAAATAAAACTCATTTGACTGAGTTATTAAAAGTTTTTGGTAGATCATTTATATAAAAGAGAAAAAGAAGTGGACCAAGAATGGACCCCCGTGAGACACCATGCCTTACAATATCCCAACTAGAGGTACGAGCATAACTCAAGTCAGTGCTTGTTATTAGAACTCTCTGATATCTATCAGATAAATAGGATGTAATTAAACCTTCACACTCTCCCCCCCCCCTCTAACCCGTTTTCAAATTAGAAACCAGGTTTATCCTTATTGCAGGAATATAATAAAATTTAATAATAAAGGTTATTATTACAAGTCATCACAGTAGAAGTCAGGAGACTACAGTGCCGCCAAATGTAGTTGGGGGTGGGTAACTATTTGTTTCGCATGTTGGCAACACAAGGGGTATTGCTTCTCTCCAGGTATGATTTAATTCGAGATACTTCTCTGGTGCAAGGCCTCATATGTGTGGAGCTTCAATAGTTGAATATTTTCTTAGCTCTCAAAGATGGTTTGTGTTGTGCTTGGTTTATGAACACCTTCTGAAACTGGTGTAGGTGTTCAGAGATAGGGGCTAACTCTATCTATTGGACCCAAATGAGTAGGTTTTATCTGAGGACGGGGACAGAATCCAGTCTGCGAAATGTTGTGTTTTGAAAAAGAAACAGGACGGTTCTTAAAAAATAGACAAGACTATTGATAATGTCCAAAAACATAATACTTGTAGCAATATACCATTATCACAAACTTTTAGATCTTATAAGAAAAGTTATAACCAAATAGGTGCACTAAGAAAATCACACAATCTAAACTGGAAGCACACATACCTGGTTCACATTTTCATCCCGAATCTTCTCTACAGTCAGCCGCTCACGAACAAGATGCAGGTTTAATATCTCACGTAGTTTATCAGGGTTATATAAAGTGTCAATTTTGGCAGCAGACCATGCTGAGTTGGAGGGTGCAAACAATGTGAGATCTCTCATTCTGGTGATCTCCTGCATAAAGTCTCCACCTTCATCCCGAATCTTATTATAGAATTTGTACAGTGGTCCATCCTCCTGGTCCTGCACAGCACAAGGGATAGTGGTCAACATCTGTCATCAATGTGCTTACAAACAGCTGATGGGAGATATAAATGAATCTTCTTTTTTTAACGGAATGTTATTATGTAATTATCCATAATGAAATATGACTCACCTGAAATTTATTTCCTTGCATCTTTAAAGGCATATCATCATTACTACTAATGTGAAGACAAATTATATCTCATTAAGCTCATCTCATTACACTGAACATTCTAAGTACTACTGACATGATAAAAAGAATCTAATGTACTTTCCAGTCAATATACACCACTGAACTGAAGGCAGTGACTTGTCCATATAATGAGAGATTTTCTTAAATGTAAGTTAACCTCTCAAGTGATGTTAAAGAATCAATTACCTGATCCTAAGGGCTTCCTACTGACAAAGCACAAAGATGCAAAATAGGTTTAAATATCAGATTCTCGCTTTTGCACTTCTGCAGTACAAAAGTGAAAATCCAATACCTCATAGGTATAAATTATCAAACACAAATAAAATGTTTAAGAATAAACAGAAAACGAACTTTACAACCTAAGCAAATACAAAAATAATTATTTGTCTGTTATGGCTGGAGGATGCTCAATATAACCAGCTGAATGAGTCATCATCACTACCAATGCTGCCAATGCCACTAAGACCACTCTTAATTCTCTTAATTGTACTTGTCCTTCATGTTATGGTCAAGATTAAAATATATATAGAACTAAATTCAATTACTCTTGGTTTGTTTGTTCTTTCCACTGTTACACTACAGAGCCAAGTTATGCAGCCAGTTATTTCCCAAAGGGCCTCATTTTTTCCCAGCCTCTCATTACTTCCTTTCTCATACAAATGTTTTTCTCACCATCATGTTCCCAGACATCCTCACTCTATGTTCTTCCCTTATGATGAGATATCAAACATCACACCCATGTAGAACATGAATTATTTGAAAAATAAACAGGATGATGTTTTTAGATAAAGACAGGACAATGGATAATGTCCAAATACATAATATTTGTACGATTTATTATAGTTTTTATACTGTAATCTTTGACTTTTTGGATGAAAGATACAAGATAAATTCTGAGCCAAATGATGGCAAGCAATCCCCGTGTTTAATCTGTGTTTCACATATTAGAGAATGTAATTTCAATTTATTATTGTTGTTCTCAAATATTTTAACACTACCACATTGCCTAAGCATATATTTATTAGCTATCATTGTTTCTACTGAAATTTTATCCTGAATTCTAGTGATGAAGCATACTTAGGATTTATCTGTTGGATATGACATCCTGAGAGCAGTAACTAAAAGAGCTCTCTGGATCCAGCACAATGTAGTCCAGTGTAGCAGCCCATCAACATCTTACAGGAACATGCTGTCTGCTTACCACCTGTTTTTGCAAGTTTCTTGCTTGGCTTGCATCAGTGAGCTTCTACTGGACTACACAGTGTAACATCCCAGAAGATATTACTCTTCTTAGATTTCCCTATTTCTGGCTAGAATAATTTCCTTACTACAATTAGAAGAGAATATAATTAATAGTCATAATTCTAAATAATGTAGATGTGTTTCAGCCAGAAATATATTATCAAAAGTTTTCAATGAGTATTCTCCTTTACATATTTATATTTATTTTAACACTAGCAGAACATAATGTTTCCATTAACTACCAAATGTATCATAAATTTTTTGTTCTTATATCATTTACCACATTACATAAACACTAATAATGGAGGATTTCATTATTATAATTTGGCCATTACTCCTACACTGAAAAGCAATGCTGCTTGCTACAAATTACAACTAGGGTTTGGCTGCATGGCATGTGTTGTAATGAAGAATTGGAAATAGTATTATACTAAAGCCTGTACGACAACCATAGTGACATTAATGTAATTACTGTGCTGCTCAGGTTGCCAAGCACTTCAGTTTTTCATTTAAGTCTAGGTTAATTTCAATGATTTATACATGACTTTCACAGTCATCCTCAAAATCTGAACCCCCTCTCAGAGCTAAACATCTAGGGCATACCAATATATTTTATTTACTGCAGTAATGTACGCATTTCCTTATTGTATTACTGTCCAGCAGTACTGAAGTTTAATGGTAAAACAATACAATGCCTTTCCCAACGTAATGTAACAGTGTACAGTGGCTACAGCTGATAAAGTCTTCTTTGTGTTATCCAGTTGTGTCGGCTGGTTAAAAATTACTGACATCTCAGGCAAAATCTCTGTCTCCATCAGTCTCTGATAATGGAGACGGATATGGTCCCTCAAATGTTGGTCACTTTTAACTGACCAGCATAACTGATAGACCAAGAAGATTTTATCAATATATATGCCACATAAACATATGTGAATTACTTGGAAACAAAATGTGTTGAGTGATTCGCTGCAAATGTTGGCTAGCATATCATATTTTGGACATAATCCTTTACTGTACTGAATTACGGTACTGATGACTCCTTACTATCATATAGGAATTATTTCATCCAATTATTAAATTGTAATTTATGAAGATTCTTATATTGCTGTTTCAATGTTACTGTAAGGATATGCATGTCTATTCTTTCGGGTTTATAACATGTATATATACATCAGCTAAGAATCTGAAAATGATATACATTTACTTCGCTTTATCCTCTAGATAGCACTTAACATGTACATGTATACCATATACATCAACATGTACAGCAAATAAGTACAACGTATGTGGAAACTTATGTCAAGTATTAGGACAAAAAATTCTAATACACTAAACACACAAAATCTACAGATGACGGGCCCAGAAATCCATCTGCACTCTTGGGCCAAGTGTCTGGAAATTACCATGTTCTATTTACTAATGCTTTAGAAATTTGTACAAACTGACTGAAATGCATTCAGAATTCAGTAAATTTAATACATACAAGGAAAACATATATATACACACACATTTCACAAAACTTTCAAACTTTAAAACTGATATACACATATAAAAATAAAATATAAACAAAGAGAGTATGCATAAAATGCTCAGCAAGTACTGAGATTTGTTAAGGCTCCCAAGAAAATATTTGTAACCGCAATACCCAGTGCACCCAACAGAGCTGAGAAAATCACACCAGGAAAGCTAGTTCAGTAAAACAGAATGCTCCACGCACAACACAAGTCATAATAACACAAATATACTGACCTTAGTTTAAAGCTCCATATCATTGTCAATTGTTGCACTTCCTACCAACAACTGAAGATAAATTTTTGCTACAATTGTTTTAACCCCATGTTTACATTTCAAAAAAACATGATAATAATACAGCAAAATGCTATGCATACACGTGTAATGTGTGTACTAAATGTTACGATGAAGTATCAGTCTGTACTTAATGTTAGAATATAGTATCAATTTTCCTACTTCAACCACCAAGGTACTATTTCAATGCATATACAATTACACAAAAAATGACAAATTTAATCCCTGAGTTCCAGTAAGTACAGCACCAATTACCTACAGGAAGATGACATGGCTGCAAGTAACTAACAGAGCTGAGTTGACTTAAATCATGCTCTTATGAACATATGATTAAAATTAAAAAAAAAAGTAAAGGAAAATGTAATAGAAAATATAAATTTCAGACTAAATAGAAGCACAACATATAAAAAAATTCTGACAATTTTCATTCTTACTGCTTCTCCAAGCAATCATGATGATTAGATTATTGGTTCATCATCTCTTTTTGGGTGCAATTCTAGGTATTGTAAAGTGGAGATGGGAGGGCGAGGGACTTCTGGACCCTACCGTTATACTACACATCAACTGATGTAGGATGGCTTAGCCACAGCTGCTATTGCATGCCAACTTCTTAAATCTTGGTGCAATGGGTGATGTGAGAAGTGACAAATTCCACACATTGGCCAGCCATCCTACAGCAATTAACAAGTGTCTACCAATCTGACAAATGGAAAGATGACTCGGAGTACTTACAAAAATACCAGTACTCTATTCAGGCCATGCAGTCCCCCATTAAGATGAACGAACGTCACATGCAAAGCAATGAAGAAGGGAAAAAAACGTACATTAATTACATATAGGAACACTGGAAACAGTAACTTTTTATAAATATGATATATTATGGTAATGTAACAACAGTATACAACGTGAGCAGCTAAACTGAAGGAAACACTGAAAAGTTACTCCAAAAGTATCATGATGGAGAAAAGTAGACCTATGCTGTAAAGTCTGGGCAACACACAACACATAAGAAGCACACAAACTTTGTGCCCTGTACAACTCTTTGGCTGAATGATTTGGAGTTTATGTTACACTGGAAATACCTCCTTTAAAGAAGAAAAAAGGTTTATAGCTAAAAAAAATACTAGGAAATATATAACTCCAGAGTAAGAACTAGAGAATCCAAAAGGTTAATATTTCTAACAACAGTCCTTACTAGATTTGAGGTTTCTAAAGCAGTGATTATGAAGGGTATGGTTTCCTGCATTTTAACGCCATATCGTTCAAGGTGAGACTGAAGTTTTTCAGAAACACACCATTTCCATCTTTAGGGATGAAGAGCACGCCGAGCAAGAAATAATCAAAAGTAGGTAGTAATTTGCTCAGCTTGCTGCCTGCTGCTGGTTTCTTGCTTGGCTTACTTTTGACCCTGAAGATGGGGATGATATGTTCCTTTGAAACATTGGGTTCTTTCCAAACTACATGGCATTACAGCAAAGAATATCATAATTTTCATTAAAAGTCGTTGCTTGTATGTTCTGCATCTTGCCAAGTAAAAATTATCACCTCGCCTTCTACTACTGCCTCATAAGCATAAGGACAAGGAAAATATTTTTTACTGCACAAATTAGCAATCTGATGAGGATTCAGTGTGGTCTGATAACTTAAGGGACTTCTACGTAGGTTTAGAAACAAATAAACTAAAACATATGGAAACAAAGGGTGCAAGCGTGGAACCATGAAATTGTGCTTCTCTTGAAGTGTCTCTCGTGATAATCAAGTTTCTTATGAGAATGACTCAAATCAATATGGTGGGTGGCTCAGGGTGTGGTGCAGGTGAGGCATTAAAAACTAAGAAAGACAGAGGTGGAAGGAATCAACACAGGAATTCAAAGAACAACAACACTGCATTTTACACATGTACAATAATAAAGAACACAGCAATAATATCAGTAATAAAGTACCTGCACAAAACACTGTGGCCCAACAAAGACTATTAAACAAAAGTGTTAACAACAACAAAAACAAATGTAAGCTATACAAAATCATGCAAGAAGCAAAATGGATAATTCTCACACTCACACATCCATGCAAATTGTTCTTTTTTCTTATTTTTTCCATCTTGTAATTAGTAAGTTATTGCTTAAAACGATTTTAATAGCATGTAATGTTAAAAACATGCAAATTTCTGTTGATGACAATAATAAACATCACAGAAAAGAAAAAATTATGTGAGTCCAGAAATCCCTGGCAACTTGCTGTTTTCCTTTTACAGTTCGAAGAAAACATTCACTAATTTATGGAGAAATGAATTAACAAAATACACACGCAATCAAATCTTCCACTCACTCACACATACCTCTAAGAAATATGTACAATGCTTAAGTTAGTCATAGTCATATGACACCAAGACATCTCTGTGGTCACTTCTCTTTTTTCATATTATGGATTATGCAAAGCAGAATTCCTTTTTGTGTTTCATCCTTATTAGCTACAGTCATGCCTTGAAATCAGAAATACTGTCAAGTCTGCAACTGCTGAGGATATCTCAATATCAGGACACCATGCACTTTGTTTTAGGTGTTCTCTAACCTCCTATATTTCTTTTATATAACAAGCTAGGTTACTGTACAACTTCGAGGTATTTATGATACATATGTACAGTATAATCAGAGCACAGGAAGTCCATCAACAGTTTCTTCACAAAGATTAGCTATTAAATTCCATACATTTATGTTATAAAAATAGACCAACTACAAATCATAAGTCATGTCAAAAGTAGTAACTAACAGCTACCATGATGGATGTCCTTAAAGCTGTTTTTTCAAGGAATTTTTATTAGAGCATTCTTCCCAAATAATATTCACCTGTCAAGAATATTCAATTTGTAACACAGTCACGTGGCACAAACATTCTGTATGTTCTAATTAAAACAAGCCCTTCACAAAACACTAAACACATTTACACACACTTGTAGAATATATAACACTATATGGTCCAACACCCACACACCTACTTACAAGCATACAAGGGTCATCAAATACTGGACCCTTCAGGAGTCATTAAAAATAACGCCAATCCAATAGGTTACTTAAGGATGCAGCACTTAAATAAATTCTAAGAGTTTTACTTGCATTTATATATGTATGGCTCATCAAGTTCCTGAACCTATTAAGTGCTCAGTTTCTGAGAATTCTGACATCTATATTGTTTACAAGATTATTAATTTCCTTTGTAACCCATTTTCTCACTTTATTCTACATATCTACAACAAATAAACATTATAAATTTTCAAGAAATGTGAATCACCTATGTCACTGTTATCATTTGACAATAAACACTTCTTGCTTTCATTACTACGTAATGTATAAAAGAAAAATACCCTCACCAGGTAACAAGAAAGTGGATATTTTTCACTTGAGGTGTTATATAAAAACAGGTGATATCTTCTTCATTAAATAATTAAGATGCAGGTCCAGTCTGATCAGATCCAGTTTGTAATTCATGTGTGATGATTCTGATGGAATGGGGAAATTTAATCTGAAGAGTGCCAAAATAACATCACATGAGTGAGGTATACAACTGTACCCAGCATAATAATTCATCCTGACAATGGGCAAATATTCAAAAGTCATGAAGAAACACAATCAGTTTGTAACTGTGTTTTGTTTTCTATCTACTAACTGCATTCATTGAATGAGAAAGGTCAACACAACAAGCTGACATACAAAACCAGATATGAAGTTACCTATAACTGGAAATATTTGGAAGAAACTTAAACTCAAATTGTATGAATATATCAACTACAAGTTAATAAAAAGCTGTAAGTACCTTTGACATGACTGTAGTAAAAACAAAGAACAGCAGACAGTTGGTATTTCATACAGCTTCTGAGGACTGGACTTCCTGTATGCCTGGATATTCTAACATGACATAAATTTCTGTAGTCTGTACACTAGTACTGCTCTAGGTTGGATACCATGCAAATTGGCTGTCCTGAAGCCAAGCATAGCTTGTGGTGTGCCACTTCTACTGCATAATTCCACAACATTACAGGCTAGTACCTCGCAACGGTAATCAGTACTGAAAGTCACTGCTTCAATACAAAGAAGACAAGAAGGAAAGTCTGCATTTATTTTGAGGTAACATGTTTTGTTTATTTCATTTCAGATGTTTCATATGCCAGAGACATTCAGAGTAGTATGAAAATATTAAATGCTTGATAAATTCTGTTTTACATTTCAGAATGTTAAATGCAAATATTTTCTGGCACAAATATATACCTTAGAGAGGATGCTGTGTATGTTTTCCAAAGAAGGTTATGTTAACTTTCTTTACAATTATATAAAATATATTTGTTAATGGCAGTGGTAGCTTGAAACATTCTGTATCAGTATTGCATATGTAGTTTGTATATTCACATGTGACTTCTGTCTACACATACCACCAGTTTAAATAATGGTAATGATTTCTGAAACACAGGCACAATATTCTGAGCTATCACTGCAATTTATATTAGCCCCATACTTCACAAAGTTTTATACATATGAAATGTTACATCAAAATGCCAACGGTTATACCATGTTGAAAACACCAGTTCTCATCTAATCACCGAAGTTAGGCAACATTGGGCATGGCTAGTACTTGGATGGGTGACTGCATGGGAACACCACGTACTATTGGTATCTTTTCACCGATGAGGAGGATTTTTTCAATTTACGTAATCCTTCCACCTGTACTATGGGCCTAGGGTCGACTCAGCCTCTAATAGAAATGAGTACCAGGAATTAATTAAATAATTTTCCTGGGGAGTAAAGCGTGGCTAACAACCTTACCGCCATCTTTGAGCCGACTGTCTAGATAATGTGGGACCCTCAACATCTCACAACCCTATGGGCCTCCATGGCCTGTTACAGGGATACCTTTACTTTACTTTACTTTACATCAGAATATTTGTAAAAATGAATTGCCAAAATATATATTCATGCTGTAAGTAACTACATTAAATTTCAAATTGTGCTGATCTCACCCACAGGCAAAGCCACACAACTGGTTGTACCAGTCACAGTCACTGGAACTGCACATTCCAAGAATCTTCTTGATACTATGTAATCTCAATATTGACACCACCATTAAATAAGAACTTAAAAAAAAAAGAATATTCTATCCAACTGAACAAATTAACCTTTAAAGACCGAATTTTTTCCGAACTAAATATAAAAATTCAGTTCGTACCTCACAGGAAACACACTGTGTCTCCGCTACAAGGACCAACCGGTTAATGCTGTTTAGGAAAACATCCGATGCTTATTGTGAGAACCATATGAAACACACAAACACACTGTGTGAGCAGAATGCAGAATTCTAGTATGTTAAACCAGGTCGTGCATATAGTAGCCTTTAGGCTTTAAAAGGTTAAGAAACCATGTTCAAAATCTATTTTGTACACAAATACTTACTAAGGTATCGAGTTAAGAATTATTTACAATATTCCTCTACTCTTTATCATGGTCCATACATTCTGTGTGGCTTATGTCTTTGCACTCTGTATAATTTTAACATTATTTTTTCTTTTTGGAATCATTTCTTCACATTGGTGTTCAGTCCATTTAACGCTGTCTTAATTTATTCTAGAAATAACTTTGTACATGGGATATAAAATAATTTGTTTGATATTAATTTATGATTTTACATTTTGATTTCTACAGACAACCAGATATTTGAAACTGAGTCCTGCTTAAACATCTATAAATAAAATATGAACAAAT